GCTTGAAGGTGGATGAAGCTAAAGACCAGCAACCAATGTAAGAGGGAACATTTCAAATTTGCCGATTTTAATGAGCATAGCTTCACAATGATGGTTAAATTTTACATACCAACTAAAGCTCCTGTTTGGTGGGGATTAGAATCACATTTTTAGTAGATTTTGATAAAAGTTGATGAAATATGCGGTTGAAAAGTTATGGGATTCATAAAATTTGTTGTTGAAATTTATTGTTGACTTTGGCTTAGATTAAAAACTTGATTTTAATCTCTGTCAAATAAGAGCAAAGAAGAATACTCAACTGAAGAAATAAAAATCCTTACTACGTATATTAAGGAGGGATAAATATCAGTGCAAAAAGGTGTCGTTTCTACCTTGTCCACCCATGAATCTTTGTACTCCACAATAAATGGATTTTGCATTTTTGATATAAGCTCCATCTATAAGACATGGGAAAAATGCATTATTTTAGATGTACAAACATTAAGAGACATGTCAATGACTGTGTATATGTGCGTGCGCGCCAACCAATGATACCAGATGTTGCAAAACCAGCCAGTAATGGACTTATGAAGGATAATCTGCTCCCTTTACGTGAATGTTTCAGAACTAGTGCTAGCATAAGAAGGATAATTTGTGTCTTGTACAGTATGGTCAACTTGAAAAATTGCCTATTGCTAACAGTCAATTTCAAGAATACTAAATGCTACAAAACCATATGACATGGAAAAAGATCTATCGAGAAAAATAGACAAACAGCAGAAACTGAGTTTTAAGAGCTAGAAAAATGAAATTAGTTAGACCGCTAACCTCCTGATGTGCGGATCGACGTGTCCGATTGGTTTGGCGTGCAAGACGGATCTTTTTTAATACATACCTTAATATTAAGCCAAAAATGAATGAGGTAAAATCAATCGACAACGGAAAAAATGCATTAGTTAATTATTAAGTTATAGATGATGAATGACAAGTGATATAAAGTGGAAAAGTCAAGATACGAGAGAAAGGTTAAGACGTAGTTAGTTCTAGGCTTACTTCTTCTTTTCAAGCTTATGCCTTACAAGAAGGGCAGAGCCAAAAGCCCCCTTTCCTATCTGTTCCAATATTTCATACTTCTCCATTGCCTACTAAATTTAACTTCCTTTACTGGTGAAGTCAATTCAAGAAAAGATGTAGCAGTCTTCTCACAGTGCCCACAACCAAATAACATAAGCTGATTTAACCTCCCTTCCTTTGAGGGATACTGGGGACCAAAAAATAGTACGGAAAAGGAAACAGAAAAGACAATGAGAAACAGTTCAAATTATAGTCAAGCTGAGAAAAATTAGAAATGACGCCATAGAACAATTTATTTGATAATAGCACATACATAAGAAATTTATAGGTACAGCATTAGTGTGATGTACCAAAATAATTACATAAAATTGTTTTAAATTTTGAAAAAGAGTAATGCTTTAATTCTGGACGAGAAAAAGCATATTTAATTCTCCAAGTAACTGAAAAATAATCAGAAAAATAGAGATCTTTCAGTAAATGAGCAGTTACAGGCCATGAAATTAAAGGAAGAATTTTTAAATTTAAATTGTAGAAAATCTGTAATGAAGATCTAGTCCAGAGAGAGAGAGAGAGAGGGAGAGTACAATGAGTTGTACATTAGCATTGTTGCAGCAAAAATAAAAAATTAACAGCAGACAACTCAGAAAATTATTCTTCTAAGTTCTAACAAAGCAAAGGAAAGTGAATCAACGACCTGAGAATGGCAAATGCAGCTGAAAATGAAACTAAAATTCAACAAATTACACAATATATAGAGCAAAATGAGGTCACGGTCAGTATCAACAGATTCATTCATTGATTTCATAGAAAGAAACTGCAAAAGGAAAAGAATAAAGCTGTACATGTATTAAAAAAAAGAAAGAAAAAATCACCTGAAATGCGTAGTTTAATTGTACTGCGGATCACGAGCTACTACTTTGAACAGAGAGAAAGTGCAATGAACAAGGTAGTTGAGCACATCACCGCAAAACGACACCGTAGCAATGCCGGAAGATTAGCAGGAAGAAGCGAAAGCTCTCTCCCTTCTACTGCCATTGCAGCTAACACAATTTTTTAGAGACAGAAACAAAAGAGACAACGTACAAGTGAAACAGAAGCAGACAAAAATGAGAGAGAGTGATTATTCTAATAAACTAGGATTAGTTTAAGACGCTTAGGAAGATTAAGAAAAGGATAAAAATCCAGTTTTAGATCTATTCTATAATGAAAAGATTTTCAATTTAAGCCTTTGATTCACATTCTTTTAAAACCTTTTTTTCCTATACGATCATTTTCAATCACGTATTTACACAATAAAACATTTTGTACATAAATTGAAAAAAAAAATTATTTTTTAACTACACATTCTCCTAAACACAATATTAAAAACTCTTTTTTCCTTTTTTTTTAAAATAATTGTCACCAAACTAGGGTATAAACAAAACTAACTAAATTTTACTTAATCTTAAAATTAGATTTTTAGTAAATATTGATTGAAATTAATGAAATATGTGGTTGAAATGTTGTGAAGCCTATAAAATATGTAGTTAAAATTAATTGTTGACTGACTTGAATTAAAATTTGAATTCCTGATTATTAACTAAATTATAAATTCTCATATTATCTCATTTAAGGGCCTGTTTGACATGTATTTTGAAAAGTCAAAAGAGTTTTTAAGACCTAAAAATAGGTTTTGAACCCATTTTGTTAATTTTATGAAGCTGTCTCCTGTAATTAGAAGAGTTTTTAGAGAAAGTTGATTCGATATAGCTTATTTTAAAAACACTTTCGAAATATAATTTTTTTTAAAAATTAATTTTCAAATAAAAATTAAGATAGATTTATCCAAAAACTCTCAATAAGCAAAGGCAAACACAAAAGTAAGCCATGCCAGGGCCTAAGTATGCGTTGTGATATTAGAGATCTTTTATGAAATCAAGTAGGTCCCCTTGCGGTAAAATTCAAGAAAAATGATACTCAAACAGGGATAAAAAATTAGGTTGACTTGATAGTATGTGATTGTGTATTTTTTGTTTTATTTTTTTCAATTTTCAATGAAAAATTGTCATGTGTTATCTGAAGAAAAATTTTGTCATTGAATTGATCTATGTAGCGTGATTGTTAAATTCAAAGCAAAAAGTGGAAAATTATTGATTTTTATTTCGAAGGTGAGGCGTGGAATGACGTGGCCGAAGGCCTAACCCCTGCAGTTGCAATTCCTGCATGGCCATAGAAAATGTACATTTTGGACACACTTAATAAAGTCAGAAGTTTTTAATGTGAGTGTCGATCACGCTTCCTTTACGGCGTAGAAGAGAAGCCCTTTCTGATACGTCAAAAAAAGAAGCCCACATACCCGCTCATCTTCCCCCCCCCCTCTAGGGGGGGGCCTCGCCTCGTTAAAGGCTACTGTTTGGAAAAGTTGACCCGGCCTCTGACTTCATTTTAGGCTGAAGTAATTTTAGGCCTAATCTGGGTATTGAATGATTTTCGTTAAAAAAATTCTATCATGGCAGCATTGTTGTGCAGGAATTACTACTGCAGAAGATGTTGTCATGTAGACTGACAAGAGAGTCAAATAACGTGGGGCCTACTCGTGGTTTCGAGTCACCTTCTACAGTCCAATCACGAGACCGTTTATCCTTAATTTCCTGCAATTTGCATCAACACCCCCTTCCAAATGTTTGTTGACTGCACTTTCACATGGGGTGTCCCTCTGCCATACTAGGCCAAGTTAGGGCCGAATTAACAATATGCAATAATATTTTATCAATAGGACATGCACACAAGTAGCACTAACGTGGATCGGGCAATGGTTTTTTTTTTTTTTAAATGACTTATTTTATTATAAAGAAGGTTAATCACATTCTTTTTGAAGAATGCATTTTAGAATAGTAGGTTGATGGAGAATGTGTGATTAATAAAAAAAGAAAAGTTTTTGATTTATGTGTAATATTATTTTAATAAAAAGTATGTGGTTGAAAAAAAAAAAGAGAAAAATATATTTTACAAAAAATAGGAATCAAACACCCCTAAACATAGCACTATTTAAGATGGTATACAACTAAAAAGAAATTATCTTGCTCAAAGTCGAGGAGCACATTGTAATTCCATTCGTCGAATCATATTCATCGTATCATATGGCATGTATACTATTTCTTTGATTCTAGGTCATACAAAAGCGTCCCCGACATATTCCCTTGTACTCGAATAAAAAGATGAAATATTAGTTCTCACCTTAATCACACTTGCCAACTTTGTAGGAGTCTGCATTGAGATATATAAAAGCATCCCCCAACATATTCCCTTGTGCTCGAATAGAAAGGTGAAGCGCTAGTTCTTACCTCACTCACACCTACCGCTTTTAATGAAGACTGCGAAATTAATTTTTACGAGCATTTACTATATTGAAATTGCTTAAATTATTTTGTGTAGACTCAACATGTTCCAATAATAGTTTAAAATCACTTTCCAGATGGAATTTAAGTACACCCAAAAAAGGGGAAAAAATGTTCATGATTTTCGTTGTGACTCATTGACTTGGTTCAAATTGGCTTTTGATTTATCTATCTGTTGACCCTCTGACTTTTTCAGTTGATTCACCAATGCCACTTTTGAAGTCCTTTACAACATAACAAATTTGCGAGCTAAGACTCGTTCCGTGGATTTTGAAATGATTCAATGAACCTACTTCACTTGGTCATTATCCAAATTTGTAAAGGGTCCATACTTTTGACAGATTTGTCCAAGTTACCCACACGTTGATAGGCTATAGCCCGTATCCAAAATAATCCCAGCTGATTGAACGATCCTTGAATTTTCAATATTTTGCACTTCCTCCCCTGCATTTTCTATTTTTTTCCAATTTAACACTTGATTTTTTTATTTCTACAAAATGTCCTCAAAGATTTTGGATTATGGAAATTGGACCCTGATTTTTTTAAAATTTGCAATTTATTCCCTAAATTATTTCTACTTGCAATACCAATTCCTTCCACCCACAAGTCGAGCCAAGGGAGCTTGTAGGCTCACCTTGTCGAGAAACCTGCAAGGCTGCTTTTTTCAACCATGCGGGTTGCATTGATTAATTTTCGCTAATGTCTCAACCACCCTAACAAAGGGGATAAAAAAGTTTTAATATTGAAAGTAAATCTTTCTTATTGCTTGGTGAGATTTTCATTAGCATAAATCCAAAATCTATTAGCTACAAGATTTTTATGTTAACGGAAAAAATTATAGTATTTCTTGAGTACTACTTAATATTCTCTTCCACTATTTAATTGAAAGTATATTAAATAATTGAGATTTAGATATGAATAAATGATAGACAAGCCAATTAAATATTGACAATTAGCAGAATTTCATAGGCTGGGAGTACTAAAAATTTTAGAGGAAATTATAGAAAACCAGGTACTAAAACTTTCAAATTCAAAATTTCGAGTTGAAGTTTGTTTATGAAAAAACCAGGTATTATATATAATTAACCCACCCAATTCAATTAAAAACCCTAATCATTTCACCCATTTTCAAATTTCACAATCCCATCTCTTCCTTTTCTCTTCTTGTTGCCCGCTTCTTTCTTCTCGACACCATCGACCCATTTAAACACTGCAACGGCGACGAAGGGATGCGCCGGTGCTAGCATCGACGTGGGAAAGCAACGCTGCTATGAATGCAGCGTCGTGATATTGTAGTCCTCATTTTCTTTTTCTGATCTGCAAAAGTGGTTTGGGCCCATCTCTACTTTTTCTCTCTTCGACAATGTAACTGGCACGAAGGAGATGCGCCGGTACTAGCACGAGGGAGGCGAAATTCGAGAAGTTATAGTTTCGATCTGCATTTTTGGGGGGTTTTTTAGGTTTTTCGATCAAGCGACGATGGGGATCTGGCGACAATTTGGTTGGAGGTACTGCGCGAGGTGTTGATGGTGGTGGTGGCAATTGACGATGGTGCTATGGTGGCAACACTACAACAGCTTCTTTGTGCAGCGTGGATGTGGGTGGTGTTGGTGACCTTAGTGGGTAACAGTGTGGTGATGGTGGTGCAAGGGATCTAAGTAGGATGGCAGTGTGGATGGTGTTGGTAACCTTGGTGACTTACTATTATTTTCATGTCCCTTTTGGTGGTCTTTTTGTTGTTGTCTGCTGTGTTTTGGTGATATTTTTGCGGTTTGTGGTGTTTGCTAGCGATGGTGGTACATTGTGGATGTGGTGTGGTACAGTTGGTCACTGTGTTTTGATAGTCATTTTTGTTGTTGGTAGTGGTCATGGTGGTATTGTGGCGGGGACGGAGTGTAATAGTGATTGTAACCAATTATTTGGTTGCTCTGTGACCAAGTGTTGGTGGTGGATTGGGATCAAGAGTGGAGTGTTTAGTATATGTGACCAACGATTTGGTTTGTGACCTTAAAATTTGATAATTTGTGACCTTAATGATTTTGTTCGTTACCTTAAAATTTGATAATCTGTGACTAAAAAATAATCTATAATTTATAAAATTTTTGATTTGTGATATCAAAATAATCTGTGATCTACAAAATTTTTTATTTGTGACATCAAAATAATAGATAATCAATTAATTTGATAATATGTTGCCAGTAAATAAATCTATGACTATTAATTGTGTAAATGCAATTTTAATATCTTTATTTAATAAATATTTTTAATTAATTAAATATATTCCTGAATTTTGAAATTTCAAACTATCTATCTGATTTTTGAATTGATATAAACAATATACCTGAATTTTGAAAATTTCCCAAATTTTTATTCTAGTTAACAAAGAATAAGCACTCAATAATAAACATATATAATATTTTATTTTGAATATTTCATCTTTGGGCCTAATTAGACCAATACATGGGTTACAATCTTAAGTTGGACTTGTGTTAGTGGCCAGCACTTTGAGCCCAACTTTTATCAATCTCGAGGGCAGTGTCCGCTGGGCTGGTATACAAGCCCATAGATACACACCTAATCCACAGTGTGTCGAGGAACAACCAAAATGTGCAATAGTAACTCTTTTATAATTTTTTTGTTATTGTTATTATCAGTTTTTACTCAATTTAAGAACAAAATAAACTTACCTAGAGATTACGAACTTGTTTGGAAGAGATTTTATATATATTTTTTCAAAGGATCATTTTCAACTGCAAATTACATATGATCTATAACTTTTTCATGCTTTTTAACTATATACATTCTTCAAGAAAGTCATTTTTTACTCGAAAAAATCTCCCAAACAAATCCTACGCGTCTCTTAATGTTTTGAGTTGATATATAGATTAAACGACATGCAAAAACATATATTCATATTAACATATGTTTACATATAAAGCCACATATTAAAGATTACGTAATTTTTGAACAGATTTTTCAGGTGTCAAGTTATTATGTACCAGAACACTGCACTATTTGTCTTTTTCGCGACATTGTCACAATAATAATTTGAGGGAGGTTTGAACTTTTATTTTATTTTATTTTTGTATTGTGAAGTAGTTGAATATAAATTTTTGCGATGTCAAATAATTGAACATCGATTTGCGGTTGTGTGGCTGGGGACCATTCATTCATTTTTCAATGAGATCCCTTTTCTAGTATTTTTTTTATTTTTTATCCTCATCTTTTGAAAATTTGATTGACCTTGATCGATCAAAAATTAAGAATAAAGCTAAACTCAAAAGACCAACTCGAAAAATCAATATTCATCAAAAAAAAAAAAAAAATTCTTTTCAATCTTTACAATTTACACATTTCACCCTTCATTAATATTGTCATTTTCCTTTTTGTTGATAAGATTGAAATTTTTATAGATAGACAATAATTTTATGAAGACACAAAATTACGGTCCCATTGTCTGCATGCAGTCACGTGTCCTGCAGACTAGAACATCACCATCACCTTCTGCATAGGATTCTAATTATTTTAATTTGGAGTACTGCACAACCCACGTGTTTATGATCCATGAGCCGCCTGTCTACTCTACTCATCAATTGGCCACTGTCTGTACCATCCCTGCAATTTTATTTTTTTTTAAAAAGCATGGGGCTTCCACCATTTTTTCCATGGCAATACATGACAAAAATCTACTTCGATTCATTAAAGAGCCTTCAATTCATTAAAGAGCCTTTTTTTTTTTTTTTTGTGTGTAAATTTCTTGTGAATTTACAGCGAAAAGATTAGAAAACCATGTTTGATGATATGCAGCCTGGTGATCAATTTCATCAGTTTATGGCTTCATCAAGAACTTCGCTGCCTATTATCCCTCTTTCATTCCCAAACCCAACTTTAGTTCCCAGTTTTGACCCGTTTTCTTCTCATCAATTACATCTTCAGCTAGAGTCGTCTGTTAATCACAAGGTTGAACAGGAACATGAAGAACAAAGAGAGAGATCTATGCTGGGAACGACGATATCGACCGATCCTGAATGGTCGCATAATGAAATTCTTGCATTGCTTAGAATTAGATCTAACATCGAGAATTGGTTTTCAGATTTTACTTGGGAACACGTTTCAAGGTACATATAATTCATCTCGTGAAATTTTTTTTTAAGTCACGTGTGCTGTATACGAAAATCGAGGGTGCACGAACTCTTGCTTTTTTGAGTCTTGTTTCCTGCAATTTTTATTCTTGTTTTTAAGTTGTTTCACTACAAAAACTTTTGCTGGATGTATAATATAAGGATATAATTCCTGCCTCTGACTAGAGGGACAGAGATTAAAAACTGCGATCCTTAATTGTTTTAGGAAAACTGCAGTAACTGTTATGGTTTTCATAAATTATAAGTCAGTGCAGGAAACTTGCAGATCTTGGGTTTAAAAGAACTGCATATAAATGCAAGGAGAAATTTGAAGAAGAAAGTAGAAATTTCAACGGTATAAGCTACAACAAGGATTACAGGATTTTCTCCGAACGCGAAGATGAATTCTTTCCTGATGATCAACATCAAGAACCTCGTATTTCTACAGAAAAGAATCAACAAAATCAAGAAGATCAAATAGGGAAGGAGAATATTGTGGAAGGAGAATCAGAAAGAACTGTAACAGCAATAACTGCATCTCAAGAAAATGAAGAACAAGTTGCTTATAAACCAAGAGAAAACATGAAGAGGAAAAGAAGAGGAGACAAATTTGAAAT